AGATGGTACAGCTGCTGTTCGATAGCAATAACGACCTTCATCAGGCGGTCATCGAAGCGTTCTACGCTTGCTATCGAGTCCCGGAAACGTTGAGAGACTATTACAGCCACTCCGTTGGTGGTTTTTGGTTTGCCACACAGAAGGGCTTTAAAGCCTCGACCGATGTCCCTTGACTTGCAACTGGACCATTTGTTTCCTGCACAGCACACAGGTCTATACGTCTGCGCTCCAGTGCCTCTGCCAGCTCACATGAGCGCCCCGTCAGCGTTCCAACATTCAACGTTGCTACGCGGACCTTCTCCATGTTGCATGACTTTTGAACTAGCCTGGTTGCCCCCCGATGCCGTCCTTGCATCAGGGACCCTCGCATACTTTCCACACTCGCCGGGCCATACGAGTGCGCGTCGGCTCCCGCGGACGCCGTAGCATTGATTCGGAATTCACATGGCATACTGAACATTGGTGATGTGACTTGGGTGTTCGTAGGCCGGCCCGTCACGAAGGCCTGTCACCTGCGAATGTCTGCGATCAGCTTAGCTCGTAGAGACAAGCAGTTTTCCAGTGGCACCACGTGGAGGAGCATACTTCACCACAAGCTACTAAACCAGCTCAGTAACGAAAATCTACGTTAAACTATGCATGAATAGGAAGAGTTGCGATACCCTCTCAAAGTGCTGACGAGCTTCACCGTCACTGATTGCGAGGGGTTCGGAAATGTAAATATGTTCTTCACAAGTTGGTCCCTCAACAAAATAACACTGCGTTCGGTGCAATACACTCCTTATCACTAAGACGGAGTTTGTGTGGCATTAGAACATGGCGTCGGATAGCTCAATTGTGGGATATTTCAATTTAAGGCAACTGCGATCTTGTTGTGTGTTGGACAAAGACATGAATACAACTGTCCCGAAAAGAAATTATCTCACAAAAGTCACGGTCGTCGTCTCATTTCAAGTTCGCACGATTACCGCATCTCAGGCGTTTTGAATGTACATTTGTGTGAGGATGAACCATTTTTGAATCATACTAATGGGCGTCGTTCCGACCATGAATTTCATAAATGTTTACAACATTGGCGGCATTACCACTTCGATCAAAAGCACAAGGTTGTGTAGAGAGTTTGCACCGTTGTCTGAGTAACACTACATTTTGAAGACAGTTGTGATGATCAAAGGTGTTTGCGCAGAAAGAATGTAGTGTACCCGCTAGCGGTGAGGTCCGACCTTGAAGAAGTTTCGCGTCAGAAAGTTGCAAGGTAGGGGGTTAAAGCGCAACGTTGCTCGAGCGCGTCGCTAGCTGTGGGTAGTCTTGCTCATTTGCATGTCTTGTTGCTGTTCTTGTTTAGCCTTAAACTCAATCTCTTCAATCGCATTAACATTCTGGGCACAGTTCGGCTACGGGAGAAGGGGGAGGGGGACATTTTGCACTTTCGCTGCTTCACTACTTCTCGGTTTACAAGTCTCACTTTGGTGAAACCTGTGAACTCTTGTGAAGCTGGAGCAAGCTCGTCGAGCCACCATGTTAAAACCTGTCAGCTC